ACAAAATTTAAATTAAAAAACATATAATATAAAAAAACTTGAATCTCGAAAATTTGATGATTTATAGCGAAGAAAAAAAAAGAGATATCACTACAATAATTTATAAAAAAATAGTTATATATAACAGGCAACTTGAGAATAAAAATAAGTCTAAATTATCCTCAACAATTATTCTTAGAAAGATGATAAATGTATATGTATAAATTGAAAATAATTATTTTTAGGTTCAAAACAGGTGATGGATGCACTATTTAAAAATATTTAAAGATAAAAGTACATTTATAAAATGTTGGTTGATTATTCCATCATATATATATATATTTTAAAGTTGACATATTTGTATAAAAAATTTCAAATATAATTTTCTTACCTTTAAAAACAAGAAATTATGCATGTGTTAAGAGCCGAACATGGGCAGATCAGGGGGTTGGGGTGCTAAAGCCGCTGCGCCAGGGACATGTTTTACCAATTTTTTGTCCAATACTTATATATCCTCGAGGCTTGAGCCCCTAGGTTGTGGTGGATCCACCCCTACTCAAGAAGTGGTATCTGCATGATTGAGCTTAGGAGCGAGCTTGGAAGCAAACACTCTAATGTTGAGTTAGTAAAAGACTGATCTACGGTCTCAATTAGTCGAGATTTGATTGCATATCAAAGGTCAGAATGGTGCTTCTGATTTATAAGGAGTCAAGATAAAAACAATGTCCGACTGTTTAGTTGTGCGGTTGGAAAATAAGTTGTATAAGGATTGACTGTCGGGTCCTAATTAAAATCAGTCTGGTTATAGAGCAAAATGAACTTTAATGGAGGTTAACTACTGATATAACAAGGGTAAGGGGAAGAGTTTACGTGACTTCTTCTGGGCTCACGTAAACAATGCTACAACATTAATGATGTAATATACCGGCCAAACAGATATGGAATCTTCTCATATTTCTTAGATTTTATACTATTATGTTTTAACACAGCCATGACAGCATATCAGCACAATTTATAGCCTTATTAGGTGAGCCTTATTCCTAAGTACCCACGCTCTAAAATAAAGTAGATCTAGCACAAGTTGAAGCCAAACACTCCTTATTATAATTTTCCAAGAGCTAATAAAGAGATATTCCAATATATTGGCCAAACACATTGAAAATCAAACGTTAAAAAACAACTTCAACTCAGTATATATATCATCAAAAAATTGAAGCAAGGTTTACAGCCTAAGAACAAGTTCACAACATCCTCCCCTTACAATAAACTTAGCTATGCAATATCATACAAGAAAAGGGAAGAAGAAAATACAAAACCCGTGCACTTAAAAGTACAAAAGAAGAAGAAAAGGAAGAAAAACAACAGCTCTTCACTCCCTTTGTTGTCTTCTTCGGGTTCCTCTCCAAGTGTCTTCCATTCTCTCTTGTCTTGTTATCTCTAGGGTTTGATGAAGAATGAATTAGAGGCAACCTTGAAACGTTGCTTTTATACCCATCTTTGATTTTAGGGCAACACAAAGAATAAAGTGGGTCCTAGCTCAGAATATCAGGTGAATCTGCGTTTTACTGCAGTAAATTCTCAGGTAAAAATCTATCACAGCTTTGTCTTTTATGCATTTTTGATTCCGATGCTGCAACATCAACAATGCTGCATCAAAACATTCAAAGTTAGGCAATTCTTCATAACTCTTAGAATCATTTGCAAATGCAAGGATGTTTGTGAATTTGAAACATTATTTTCACAAAATCAGTATAGAGTGGGTGTTAGTGTGGCTATCCTTAGCTAATTTATATAGAATTTTTGCACAACTAACTCTCTTTTGGATAATTATCACACCTCCAAACTTGAGCTATTGCTTGTCTCCAAGCAATGCTAATCCTACCTCTACACTTCAATAGAATGGAATAACAATAATGCATGCTAATAACTTCACCAATTGCCTATGATCCATTACTGTGGATAAATGTTTATCGATCTACTCAAGCATCAAACTAGAAAGGAATCAAACAACTCTTGCACTAAGACTAAGGTGCTTTATTCACATCTGACCACTAACTCTCTTTTGGAGAGCTATCAGTTGTTTGTTGGCTTTGGCATGGTTGTTCATTGGCATGTTGTAGTTTCTACGACATTCTACGGCGTTCTACATTGTTTTTGTTTTTTTACCTTCGTTTGGTTTAGTCTTAGTTTTAAGTTTTTAGCATTAGGTATATGTTTTTCTATTTTGATTTAGACATTAGTTTTGACTTATTTACAAACTTACAATTTAGTATAGTATTGTGAGTTTGAGGGAGGGTGTTAGATAATATTATTTGAATTATTATTAGATTTGAACTAGATTTAGTTTAGATTATATTATTTGAATTAGATTTCCTATTCCTATTATAATTAGGAATTATAGTATTATAAATAGGTCATTAAGTTTGTATCAACCAATTCAATTCAAAGAATCCTATTTTTTTATTCTCCCCATTTTCTCTCCTCCCTAAAAGTTAACAAATCTTAGCCGACTTTTAGAGGAAGCACAACGGAAAAGCCTTATTGAGGGATTTACCATCCAGCGGCTAGACTTTTAGATATCACACCACCTTTTTGCAGATGACATTCTACCTTTTTCTTCTGCAAACGAATTAAAAGCTCAATAACCTATTTCTCTTACTAAATTCTTTTGAGCAAGCGTCTTGCCTCAATATAAACTCCAAAAATCATCCATTTCAAGCACCAATATCTCTCGGATTTCCAGAATCTTGCTCACATTTGGGAGATCCTACAAAGCCCTTCCCTATTGTTTACCTTGGTATGTCTCCTAGGGGAAACCCCAAAGCAGACCATTTTTGGGAGCAAATTATAGAAAGAGTCCAATAAAAGCTTGATAGTTGGAAGTACTCGTTGGAAATTAAACATGTATTATTCTAGATACATTATGCATATGCATTCCTAGGTACATGATACATGTACATGAACTAGTACATTCATGCATTTAGTTTTTTAAGATGAGTTAATTGTATTCATGTATCTATAGATTCATAGATGTTTATGGAGGTAGATTCTTTCATGGAGTCCTATATAAATAGGATGGTCATTTGTTCTATTTCAAGCAAGTGTGTGGAGAAGAAAAACAAGAGAGTTTGTGAACCAAGTGTGTATTTTGTGAGAAATTTCAATACAAGTGAAGTTGTTTATTCTCAAACGAGTCTTGTTGATTCTAAATTAGCAAGTGTCCATCACACGCTTCCAACAGTACTTGTATATATCTAAACGTAGAAGAATACACTAATCCAATCTGTTCTAAGTAGTCTGCCTACCTATCATATCTCTCGGTCTTCCGATCTCTTGCTAAAATCACCAAGGCTCTTGAACAGCTGATGAGGAATTTCTTATGGGAAGGCAATGGAAACAAAAGGCTCTCTCATCTCATCCGTTGGGACATTGTGACTCTTCCAAAAGCCTTACGGTGGTCGAATTGGCAATGGATGTGGAGATTTTTAACAGAGAATAATAGTTTATGGATTTCATTGATTAAAGCCAAAAATATATACAGCCTAGAATTTTGATCTTATCCCTTTTTTTTTTTTTTTGCAGATTTGGAAGCTCAAAATCTCCTTGGTTTAATTTCATAAAACTTAAGGACATCCACTTAAAGTGGAGGGCTTAGTGATGTAAATCAAATCCTTTTCTGGCATCTCATATAGGCATCTTTTGAACCTCTTTGCATGCTTCATTGTACGTTTACACCTTCTTTGTGGGCTCGACTTCTCTCTGCTTTCCGATTAAATTTTGCACTTCCAAACCGAATAGATGATCTTATCCATGAGAGCTTGTCCTCTTCCCTGATTAATCAACGAAACATCCTTCTGAGTAATGCAACTGGTAGCCTTATATGACACATTTGGTTGGAGAGAAACAACTGTACATTCATAGACACACACAAAAGCTTCAATATTCTTTGGGAAGATATCATCATTACTGCCTCAACTTGGTCATCCAAATCTTATTTTTTTGTAATTACAATATTGTAATCGTCTCTCAATTGGAGTGCTTTTATCTATGTTCTTCACATACTTTAATGAATGGTACTTCCTTTACCAATATAAATAAATAAATAAATATATATATATATATATATGAAGAGACAACCCTAAAAGGAGAAAGGCCGCGGGGTGAGTATTTGACGCACACTCTCACACAGGGTGAGTATTCTCTGTGCAGTATTAGGTTCTTGGAGACGAAGGCATACGTGGTACCTGCGTGGTATCTATATAGACCTTACCGAGAAATCGACATCAACACACTTAATTTGAAAATTTAATTTTTTCATATAAAAATTTTAGATAACAAGAACAAGAAATAGTTACCAAACATCTTTCTGTTATTTTTTTCCTCTAATAAAAAAGAAAGAACGATAAACGATAAAAGACAAACACAGTTACCAAACATAATTCAATTTTTCTTTATTGAAAATAAAGAAGAAACAAAAAACAAAAAATAAGAAGTAATATCGAATAACGTTATCAAACGAGGTCCTTAGAGACTAATATAAACACTGCGAAAGTTGAAGAATCGAAATAGTTACTTTTTGAAAATTCAGAAGGTTTAAAAGACAGAGGAACAAACTGAGATTTAAACCCATAATAAAAAAAATTATATATTTTATAGTACTTGAGTAAAAGATTTCTTTTTTTCTTTTCCAAATAATGTCACTTGAGCACCCATCTTTAAATCCCAACCATCCATCACTTCTACCATGCTTCAAAATCTCTCTCTCTCTTCAACATGGAAAAAAGCAGACAATTTTGTTTGTTTATTTATTATTCTCTGGTCTCCATCAGTTGCTGGTGGGGAAGTCTTTGCTATGTTTCTCTCTCCAAAAACATTTCATCCATCGCCACCTTTCCTTTGGCGCAAAGCTTTTTTTCTTGGCTCTGTAATAATCAACAACAAATCTCTACACAAGAGAGAGGAAAAAAAAAACACAGCAAGAAGAAGAAGAAGAAGGATTAATTTCTCTCTCTCTCTCTCTCTCTCTCTTGTGTGTTATTTGGGAAGATTTGGAGAACAGAAGATTTGGGTTTCAAAGTGTAGACACAAACAAGGTACTAATTTTGAAGTTTAAGCCTTGTTTGTTAATATTTTGAAGCTAGGTTTTGAGTTTGTTGATCAATGTTCTGGGAATAGGAGCATTAATTTATGTTGTTGTTCTAGCTTGGTGATGATGAATTTGCATGAGACTTTCAAGTTAAGCCAACATTAGATTAGTAATAATAATCATCATCATTTTGTGCTTCCTTTTGTTTACAATTCACTAATGAATCATGTATATTTGGTATAATATACATACCAAAAAATGTATATTTAATATCCTAATTGATTCAATATCAAGAAATGAATACAATTAGGGTTCGAGTTACATGAAAACAAGAAATGTCTTATGGTAAAATGTCTTATTTGGATCTGTTCGAATATTTGGTTGGAGAGGAACGTTTGTTTTTTTCAATAGCTCAAGGAAGATATTAAAACAGCGCTACTTCTTCTTGGTTGCGATTAGTTGCAGTTCTTTTGTAATTATGATATTTCTGTCATTTTTTTTAGGATACTCATCTAGCCTTCTCACTTCTTTTGAGATGTTTCTTATCTAATTAAATAGGTAAAGGAACGTCGGTGCAGGAGCGGAGCGAGTTGGAGAAGATGAATACAGTTCCACGTGTCGTTCCTCCAGGCTTTAGATTCCATCCCACAGATGAAGAACTCATAGATTATTATCTGAGGAAAAAAGTTGCTTCAAAAAGGATTGATCTGGATGTCATCAAAGATGTTGATCTCTATAAAATTGAGCCATGGGATCTTCAAGGTAATGAAAAGAGAGTATCAATATATACATATTTTTCATTGTATATATTTTTTTCCAAAATGAAAATGAAATTCTAAAGATAACCCTTTTCAATCAAGTTCATGATGGCATTTGGAAATATATGACAATTCAAGAAGTATACCGAATAATAGAAAAGAGTAAAATGATTTTAAACCTAGCAAATGATGTATTTCATTTGAATATAAGTAGTGAAAAGTAATTAACACCCTGTCTTTTCTTTTCTTTTCATTTTTTTTATTTTTTAAAGAATATTAAATTAGACAGGAATAGGGTGTGTTTGGGAGTGATTTTTAGCAATGAAAAAATCACTTTTGTCATTGTCAAAATCACTTCTCTTCCCATTGATCATGTTTGGTAAATTAGAAAATTGAGTTTAGTAAAGCTTAAATCACTTTAAATTGAGTTTTAAGATATGATGGTGATTTTGGAAAATCAATTATACTTAAATCTCTTTTTTCAAAATCACTCATTCTACCAGCACTCTCAAACACACCTAATTTAAACTTGAGCATAGGCAATATCCAATACTCTTGAGTTGTTTTTTTGATCGAATGAGACTATTTTTGTACGGTTGATTTTCATGGTTCTATCGAGTAGTATATGATGTTTTAGTACTATTTTAGGTTTTTCTTTTCTTTTAATTTTGATTCTACGTTTGCATATAGTCAGTCCTTGGTAATGGTGCAATGACAAGAACTTAAGCCTTTGAGGTACCATTTACTTTAAAGTCTTAAGTTCAAACTTATACTGGTTACCGCCACACTTCATCGATTCTGAGAAATTAAAAAAAAAATTGGAGGGTTTTGTTATTTTTTATTTTTTTTCTCTTTTCTAAATTTTTTGTCACTCTCAACTTTATTTATGTTTAATTTTTCTATCAGGGATGGTGCAGTGGCAAGGGTCTTAGGCCTTGTGATAACCTACCATGAGGTTTTGGATTCAAGCCATGTGCTAGTTAATGTGTTATAAGGATCCACAGCCTAAACCATGCGGCACCGATTCCTTAGGAAAAAAAAAACGTTATTACTTTAATTTTGTTTATTCTCTAATTTTTTCTTTAAAATTTTGTTAGCCTCTCTTTGAACTTTTAGTTCTCATATCTTTTCTAAATTTATTTTTCTTGTCTAAAGTTTTTTTTCTCTCCCTTTGTAAAATTTCTCTCTCTAAGATTTTTGTTTTTCTCTATTTATTCAAATTCAACTTTAAATGATTTTTAATTATATAAAAATCACTTGAAAAATGTATAGCCAAACGTTAAAACAATTATACAAAAATTACTTTTCCAAAATTGATTATCATTTAATCCCTTTTGCTAAAATCACAAATAATTCTAAAATCATTCTCAAACACGCCCTAAATCTATAAATAAATTGTCCTACAATGATAGAATAATAATGTGATGGTGTATTTCTATACACAGAATTGTGCAGAATGGGAGGTGAAGATCAGGAAGATTGGTACTTCTTTAGCCACAAAGATAAGAAGTATCCAACAAGTACTCGAACTAATCGAGCTACAAAAGAGGGGTTTTGGAAGGCAACAGGAAGGGACAAGGCTATTTACTCAAGGCATGGCCATGGATTAATAGGAATGAGAAAAACCTTGGTCTTCTATCGAGGACGAGCTCCGAATGGCCTAAAATCCGATTGGATCATGCACGAATATAGACTTGAAACGACTGAAAATGGCGCTCCTCAGGCAAGTTTTCGATTATTAGCKTATGGTTGAGTCTTTTTTTAGAAATAATGTCTCGTCCTATCATCAAAGTTTGTTTATGGTACCTAATTAAAAAGAGAGAGAGAGAAATAAGTTTTGGGAGATATATTTTAAGAAGCATGGGCACGGACTCAAACACGGCAATATGCCAGTTACTAAATTCCTAGCCACGTTATTTTTTAAAAAATAATTTTAGATAATATATATATATATATATAGACGTAGTAATACTTCTCAATAAAKTAATCATACAAATTTAACGTAACAAATCGAAGAAGTCGCTCAAGTGTTTAATTTTAAGTTCTTAATAGGACTGGTCGATTGGGTTTTTTCGTTTTTCATTTGGTTTCTTTTAAGTGGACTTATATTTTCTTTCTTTTCATGTGTCAGTGTGTTTGTGTGGCGTATTCAAAAAATAAAAAAAGACATGCTATTTCACATTTCAAATACGTGTCCAAAGTGTGTCTGGTCATATCTATGTCCGACACGTGCTCGTACTTTCTAAGATATATTAGAGAGATGTTAATGAGAAAGAGGTAGAGATAAAGTTAGAGAGATGTTAGATGTAGAGAGAAGAGACCATTTGTAGGTGAGAGAATATATGAAGCTGAAAAAACAAATTGAATTAGTTATCAAACCACATTATATTGGTAGATTTTTATTGTATACAAAATTGTCCGTCACATCCTTTCAACCCCTCAAATAATTTATTAGTCATAATACTTTCTTGTGCGTAATCAGTAATCCCATGTCATTTTAAACGTTGAGTCGACCCAAACAAAAAACTGAGAGATATTAATATTATCGGAAGAAAATGATATTGAAAGTTTTAACATATACAACCTCCTATATACTCTGTATCGCTAAACCAAAAGCTTAAACGAATATGTACCAAGTATATTTAATCTTTTATATACATATTTTTAATTACCATTATTATGTTGATTATTTGCATATCATTTCTCTATTAGGAAGAAGGATGGGTGGTGTGTAGGGTTTTCAAGAAGAAAATGACCACAATGCAAAAGATGGGCGATTATGAATCACCTTATTGGCAGGATGATCAAATCTCCTTCATGCCAGACATTGATTCTCCAAAGCAAATCTCCCACCCCTGCAAGCAAGAAGTTGATCATCATCTTCACTTTCCCATGTTCGACAACGACGCTTTCGCCCCTCAACAGYGCCCCGAGCTTACCTCCAACGTCCCGTCATGCAGCTACGATCTCCAACGACCGAACGCCCCCTCCCTGTCAACTCAAACATTCTCTCATGCTTTAGATTACCAGCTGATGGATTGGCGAGCAATGGACCGATACGTCGCGTCGCAGCTCAGCATCGATCGAGACAATCATGGAAGAGATCAAGAAGCAAATTACTCTGAAGAAGGCACCAAATATGCAAGTGAATGAACTGATGGCATGGGAATTCCTAGTGCTGATTAAGGACTACTCTCCATGGAATTGAATAAATGTTTTATAGTAATTAATTAAAAACCTAAATATTTATGTTACTCAAGAAGTTAATATTTTAAAATAAGCATATCCATATCATATATATGTTTTTCCATGTACATGATTTAATTATTTTTCGAGCGACAAATAATTCCCCAAAGCTACTTTTTCTTTAATGAATTGATAGTCGTTCACTTCTATATACATATTTTGTTCTAACATGATAAAAATATATTAATGATTATATGAAGTGTACTCGTTTCTACCTGTAGTATACTTTGACTAATTAATTAATTAATTAATTATTCTACTAGCCTAATGTTAGAGCTAGAAATATTATATATAAGGTTAAGAACCGAAAAACTGATGTTTAATGTCTATTTCACGAATCTTTACCATCTCGTTTGGTAACTTTTTTAATTTCTTTTGACCATCCATGCGGATATTATTATTTTGAGTCTAATAATATGTTATCGGGTTGAGAATTTAAATATCTGACCTTCAGATATTTAAATTCTCATGATGGCCATTAGACTAGACAGAAAGAAAAAATATGACTATGTCGAGGATAAAATCTCATGATGGYCACCTACTATTTGGGCGGTTCATTAATCCATAGGGCTAGGGTAGTTTCTATTTTTCAATACCAAATGTTATAGGATCAGACGGCTGTCCAGTAAAATTAGTCGAGGTGTGCGAAGAGACGAGAGTGAGTCAAATATATTTTTTACGRTAYGAAAGGAGAGAAAAAAAACTAGTGTCTTTATTTCGATAGTCGGTGGAGATCTCAATTCATTCTTAAATTCTCGAATCCATATAGGATAAAACATATACATATATACATGTTCATAAAATTTAGCAAAGATTTCAAACGWGTTATTCAACGGTACGTACAAGACACGGAAAATCAATGAGGAAACACTAGCTTAAAGTTGATGTGTGTAAATGCTAAATGGACATGAAAATTTTGATCATTCATCAAAATTAGAAGAAAATAGTATCCTAGCTTTGAACACAAATACATTTATTGTTGGTAATTACCATTTGAGGCAAGTGATTTTTCTTATTTCCCTTGGAGCTTCCTYCTTGGCCCATGAACCTGAAAATTGAGGTGGCTTACAAAATCAGCAGAACCAGTCTTGTGTTGGGAAGAAAGTTGAAAGAAACTCCAATTGCTTGAGAAAATTAAATGAAGAGTAAAATAAAGCTCTCTCTCTATTTTGTTGTATATATTATTTTATATGAGATTAATAATTAAAGTTCAAGGACAAAAAGGGAAGGTAGCATGCATATTTTTACTTGAGTTGAAGTCAAGCATCAAAACACACATTTACAAGCACATTTAAGACATYGAGACACTTCCTAAGAGGACACAATCATTGGGCGTGCTAGAGAGAGGAGAGAGAGATTTTTTTAATGTTTAATTACTATTTTGCTCTCTCTCAGTTTTGATTAATTTTTGTTTGTATTTTTAAAATTTTCAAATCGACGTCGGAACGAGTTAGGAAGTCGGRTAGCCAGTGTCGAGACGATCAAAGGAATGAAAAAATGACCATCGGATGTTGCAGGGCCATTTGGCCGAGAGGACGGCGTTGCGACGCTAGGGACAGTGCACGTCGTAGCGCTGCATCGAAAACACTAAAAAAATGTTGGTGTGCAAGTCATTGTTGACACTGGGCATGGTCGTAGCGTTGAGACAGCGCTACACTGTTATATTTAAGGTACCTATGCATTTTCGTTTAGGTTAAGYAGTGGAATTCAACTTTTGGGTAGCTGATTTTGAGAGGTATTGGCAGCATTTTTGTGGCAGCGGCTCAGGTTGGTAGTACRTAGAAAGATCAAATCGAGATTGAAATATTTAGGGTATTTGTTCTAATTGATATAATTGTGAGTTTTTCATTCCTTGTACCTCAGTATTATTGGWGTTAAATAAGRGTTTTTGTTGGGACCTCTAARGAGCGAATATGGTGGGKAGATATATTTGAAAGTGCTTGTATTCAATCTCATTATAGTGTGGAATCCGCATCTGAACGGAAGACTTGGACGTAGTCCATAAATGGTTGGGATGAACTAATATAAATTTGTTGTRTCRTTTTATTGTTTTCCCTATATTTCTTTTGTATTGTGTGATTGACTTAGTTAACTGGATAATTGTGGAAGGGGGAAATTAGTTYCTATACTTTCAATTTTGTTCATTTTAGTAATTGTACTTTAAAAACRTTCGTTGTAGATAGTGTATTTTTAAAAAGTGASAATTGATCATTTTATTTTCATTTTCATCTCATTTATTTCGACTAAAATTTTAGCATTACACTTCATTAACTAAATTTATTGAAACGTATCTATAAATTTGGTATTAAAAGATTTTCATTGTGAATAAAATAAGGGCCAAAATAGACGTTTTGAAAATACAGATAAATGAATAAAAGTTGTGGAAAATATACCGGGAATAAAATGATGYATAGCCATTTTTATTAAACATTACCACATAAACATAAAAATAACTAGAAAAGAGTTACACAGTCATAAATTAATATGTCTAATCAATTTTCTGGTAATGTTACTAAATTAGATTATTTTGAACCCTTTCTTAAGTCATCTCAAAGATTTCAAATTATTAGCTTATAAAACTTATAACCAAATAAAAATCCTAACTCGAATTTCCTTTACCTTAAAATTCGTATAAAGACATGATTCTAAATAAAAATATGAAAGTGTTAATCATATATTTTAACCTAAGTAAAAGACCAAAATAATTCTAGGAGTCAAATATAAAAATGTTAACTAATATATATTTTAACCTTTCAAGAAAACAAGCCAGGCAGTATTTTTTAATGTCCTTTAACTTCACACAAGGAGAATATTATATGATTGTATAAATGATATTGTTGGGTTATAATTTCTTTAGTATGAACTTGTCCTTCAATTAATTTCAAAAGAAAAAAGAAAAAAAAAACTTGTCTTTCACAGTAAGATACATAACATCATCAACTTTCTCAACTTCAAAAGAACATCCCATGTGAGAGGACATAATTGATATGTTTTTTTGTTGTCTCATATGTTTTTTACCAACAATTTAGTATGAAGACGTGAAAATATTGGTATACAAATCTYGAAAACAAAAAATTTTATAGTTTTATAACGTTTTTATTTCTTATATTTTGTTTCTCAATTTCTAATTGTTTAGAAACATAAGCATTACTCTTATATATATAATTTTTTACTCTTTTTAATTTAAAATTTTAGAGAATAACAGATAGGAAATGGTTAGCAAACATGTTTTTTTTTTTTAACAAGAAAAAAACAAAAAACAAGAAAATAGTTATCAAAGGCATAATTCTATTTTTTCTTGATTTAAAAAAAAAAGAAACAAGAAACGTGAAATGTGAAATATACATTATCAGATGAACAAAAATTACTGAGAGAGACGTTACCTCTCTCCAAAAAAAAACAAAAAACATTACCTTTCTGCATGTCTCACGGGAGTTCGATAAAGTTGTTCATATACCCTTGCAAATAATGGAATCCAAACCTCAATTACAAACTCTTGGTTTTTTAATTTTCCTTTTCGACTTTTGGACATTTTTTAGTACAATATGTTGAGGTGGAGATTCGAACTCACGACCATTTGGTTAGAGATAGTTGTTAATTATCGCTAAGCTATGCTCAGTGACTTCTGAGCTTTAATGAGGTGATTTCTTCACAAATGTAGGTTTGTAGCTCAGATGGTATCCACTTTTTAACTCAATTAGGAAGAAGGAAAAAAAACTTAATTTTTAATTAAGAACATAACATTGAAAGAAAAAATTATGTTAGACATGGCTATAATTTTTTTTTTTTTTGGGTTACAAAAATTGTCAATAAAAAAGCCTTACTTAAAGAAGTAGTATAAATAAGACCAAAACCTCGATTAAATTCAAACATTTTTTCATCATTTGGTCAAAACAACTGACTTGTGTATAGCTCAACTAATTAAAGCAGCTATCCGATCAAAAAGCCGTGAGTTCAAATCTCCACCCTATCTAATGTACTCATTTATTTATTTTTTAATACAACAACATACATGTGGGGTGGAATTCAAACTAATGATTGTTTGGTTGAAGATAGATGCCTTAACTAGTTAAGCTAGACTCTATTTGCGATCTATCCTTTAGGTATTGAAATTAATTTTTAGTCTAGTCTCTATTCAATAACATGTTAAAATTGAATAATATAATAGTGATTTGGCTTTTAAAAATTATTATTTTAAATTAAGTGATACATTTTAAAATTAAATTCTTCTAATCTAATTCTGTCCAATTTAATTTGTCTATATATAAAAAAAAAGGTAAATTGTAAAAACCATCCTGAAGTATGATGGTTGTTACAATTGAATCCTTAAACTTTCAATTGTAGAAATTATCAAATTAAACCCTCAAACTTTTATAAATGAAAAAATTAGATCCCTAAACTTTCAAGGGTGAAAATTAAACCCTACAATTTAAAGAAGAGAAACAGAAAGATGTAAGTCATTCTCTTATTCACATCTCTTCTTCCCCACATCTCGCGAAATGCTCTATTGGATTTGTAAGGAGTGATACATGGGGAAATCAGGGTACCATTGTTCCTAACAAGTGGTATCAGAGCCATGGAAACCTAGCTGTGTGTGGGAGGAATCCTTAAGGGTCAAACAAGAGTGATTCGTAAGCCTAATAGTCATTACGGAACTTGTGGATGAATCTCTAGATCGAACAAAAAGTGCTCGAGATGGTGAGAAAAGATGTGCTCTATGCTCAGGTGACGAGCAAGACATGCCCTACCAAGTTGGGGTAAATTGGTAGGAAGCCTATCATAGTCGGATGAACTGATAGGAAGAATGATATATCTTTGTTCGAGGGGAGGAGATTGAAGATGCGATAGAATGACACCAGATGTTCCCACAATGTTGGTCCGTGTAGCAAGTGATCTATCTAGAAGTGCTGGATAGAAGTAGGCTCTCGTTTACAATCGGGAGTAG